TAACAAATCTGAAGAAAAATAGCAAAGAAAATAACATTCCCAGCTAAATAATGTAGCGATACACGTGTCAGAGAGGATAATATCTCATTCTCATGACACTCCAGTAGATCTGACCAAACTCTAAAAAGCATAAACACCTGCTTCAATCCCCGCGCTTTAAGCCAATCAGCATCAAATCTTTTTAGACGTAACCCCGCACATGCCCAACCAGCCCATGATTACACCCTGGCTGCAGTAGTATTATTCTCAGAAGAACATGTTACCACATTCTGTCATTCACCGCAGCAGTTGAGCACCACATTTGACCAGCCAGCCAGCTGATTATACCGAGCACTAATGCGCTATTACTAGTATAAATTACTCCAGTTTGGGATAAGATAACCACCCCTGCATCAGCGCAGTCAGGTCGACCAGAGCCGTCCGATCCACCACCCGTCCAACGGACGGCTCAGGATCTAGCTCTTCCCCCCGCGTGCCACACACAAGTGGGTCTATTGTAAAAAAACCTCCGGTCTCATAGTTTGTGCCTCGCTCACTCACACTCACACGGTAGATGAAGTGGCGTTGTAGCCGGTAATACGTGCCACCTACTGCGACATTTTCTTTTGTGCACTTGCTCCTTGGACGTTAGCCAACTAACCGTAGTCGCAGTCGTCTCGCCTGTTTTTAACCGCTAGTAGTCCGTCCGATTAGACGTGAGATACGCCCCGTATTTCTGGTACTACTACTACTAGTACTGCGTGGTGATGACACATTGACATGCCACTGGCTTCACTGACACTCAGGCACACAGATGAAAGCTTCGCTGCTTACGTAGCCATGGCGAGGTGAAATGTTGCAGCCACATGCACAGGCTAGATTATGGAGTGAAGTAGTAGTAGTAGGAGTACAGAAGTGAGGCACTGTTTGGCATCTTTGGATCCCTCTCTTTTCTCTTTTGGAGAGCCAGGAGGAGCGATAGCCTGGAGGTGAACCAGCCTGCCTTTCCACCGCGTCCCCACCTACCTACTGGGAGGCGCCTTTTGTTACTTTCACACACATGTGTGGCGCTTGTTTATTGCGAGGATTGCCAGTCAGTCAATGTGGGAAAGCTCAATGCCATTTTTGCAGTCCTGCAGACGGGCAGTGCGCCAGTGTCACGTTGGAATGAATAATCTTTGGCTAAGAAACCAAAAAAAAACTAATCTTTAGTTGGTTTCTCAAGGAAACCAGTGACATGTTTTTGATTGAGCTGTTGCTTAGCTGTTAGCTTTGCTTAATGACAACTTATTTGCTTGTCATGGTTTTGGTCAGATAGAGAAATGAGGGAGTGTTACGGCTGGGTTTTGCTCGGCATTGTACTTGAGGAAACGGATGGATGAGTGAGCTTAGCTAGAGTAATTTCTTTTCTAAAGCCCCCTTTTTTCTCATATCCTTTTCGATCTATAAATCGTAGGCAACTTTCCGTTTTATGACCATAGGTATTAGGTGGTGAGCTGTTGCGAGTTCCATCGATCAGATTTGCTTTTTTATTTGTAGGGGTAGCAACTGGCACAGGGGCATTTTGCTCCAAGGAGAAAGCAAGGCCACCCTACATCGGCAGGGGCGGATCTACCGTGTAACGGTGACACCGACGACTTTCGGTAAAACCTATAGTTAAACTGCATATTCATATATTATAACACTATGTTTTAAATATAATTAGGGTGTGTTTGAGGAGAAGGGGATTGAGGAGATTGGGAAGATACGCAAAACGAGGTGAGCCATTAGCGTATGATTAGTTGAGTATTAACTATTTTAAATTTTAAAAATGGATTAATATGATTTTTTAAAGCAACTTTCCTATAGAATTTTTTTGCAAAAAATACACCGTTTAGTAGTTTGGGAAGCGTGCGCGCGGAAAACGAGATGTTTTCTCTCTCAATCTCCCAGAACACCCGGGAACAAACGAAGCCTTAGCATACTATGACACCAGTAGATATGATATGACACCATTGAATTAATTTTCTGGATCCGCCACTGTACATCGGTGTTACGACAAACAGTAGTAAATACTGCTATCAAGAAAGAATAACAAATGCAAGTCGCAACAGCAAGTGTTTTACTATATCTTTCAGAATTCAGATTAGGTTCCGTGCATCATCCAAGGCACTTCGGAAAGTGAAATGAACCATTGGAGGCTAGTGATGCTCCAACTGACTTCTGTTCGTGGACAATAACCTCGATCAATCCGTGTCTGTGTGAAGTTCTTTAAAAGATGATATGTAGAGCTGTTAGCTAGGAGTACTTAGTTGATAGGCATAACAAGATCAAGGACATGTGTCACGATTAAACGGAAAAATATTGTACCTACCGATCCCAACCGTTTGTCCGATGCTTAATATTGTCAGTGTTTTTGTTCCTTGGAACTCTTCAATCGATATGATAATTAAACTAGTAGACTTCACAATAGATAGCTAGTAGTAGATGGTAGAGATCGATGTGAGATAAGGATTAGGAAGAGCCAAAACAAGTGGCGTGTATTATGGCCTTCCGGGAGGCAGCCTGTTGGCATGATTGACATGTAAAATGCGTGGTTCTATTTTGGTTGTTGCGGACGCGGCGAAGGACGTTGGTATTGGGCTCCAGCACTGTGCCCCCTGCTTACCCGAAACCCATCAAAATCACGTTGAGACACCGGTAGATACATACTGGAGTAGTAGTTTTGAGACACCGACATTCATCAAAATCATTGATAGAGTAGTACAATACAACTTCATCGGTGCATCAAGGAAACGGTGATAACACTATTTATAATTTCCAACCCTCTATCCTGTACCACAGTTGTCATGTTTAACTTTACATGATGACCCACAAAACGAAAATACTATTAATACGTAAGTTATTAAATTTTAATTATTATTTCATCCTTCTCAAATTGATCATCATATACTCCCTCCATATTTATAAAGGAAGTCGTTTAGGACAATGTTTAAGTCAAACCTTGGGAATATAAATCATGAATAACTATCAAGTTGTTGAGTTTGAAAATGTAAAAATTATATGAATAGATTTGTCTTGAAAAATACTTTCATAAAAGTATACATATATCACTTTTTAATGAATATTTTTATAGAAACAAGAAGTCAAAGTTGTATTTTGGAGACCGTATCGATGTCCTAAACGACTTTTTTTTAGTATGGAGGGAGTATGTTTATACATCAAGACTAATAATAATTTAAATTTCATCAATCAAGATACCATGTACACATTCTCCCACAATGCATGTATCGATTAAAACACCATGCCATCTACACATTCTCCCATGCTGCATTAATTGTATTATGATGAAACTCGTGTCTATACGGTTATATGATGATCAATTTGAGAAATTTTGAATTATATTATATGATGATCAATTTAGAAAGGAGGAAGTACAAACTTAAAGAATGAATTTATATAATATTTTAAAATAACTTATACTCCCTCCGTTTCACAATGTAAGTCATTCTAGCATTTTTCATATTCATAGTGATGTTAATGAATCTAGACATATATATATCTATCTAGATTCATTAACATATTGATATGGATGTGAGAAATGCTAGAATAACTTATATTGTGAAACAGAGGAAGTATATAACAATTTTTCGGAGGAATCACATTGTTTAACTATAGAATTGATGAGATGTTGACTTGTTGAGCGTAGCTGCATATACAGGACTCACCTTACCTGGTGTGCTCTGTAATAAATGTGTAAACTGTAATGGAAAATTGCTAAGAGAGAAGGCTTGCCTTTGGCCCTGTTTAGTTTTCCAAAAACTTTTCACAAAAACATCACATTAAATCTTTGGACATATGTATAGAGTATTAGATATGGATAAAAAGAAAAACTAATTGCACAGTTTGCATGTAAATCGCGAGACGAATCTTTTGAGTCTAATTAATCCATAATTAGCTATAAAATGCTACAGTAACCCACATGTGCTAATGACGGCTTAATTAGAATAAAAAGATTCGTCTCGCGTTTTTCAAACGAGTTATGAAATTAGTTTTTTCATTCGAGTCCAAAAACCCCTTCCGACATCAAGTCAAACGTCTGATATGATACCTAAAAATTTTCATTTCACCAACTAAACAGGTTATTTGTGCCATGCCTGTGCAACTATTTTAAGAGAAAAACTCAGCAGTAACTAAAAAAAGAAATGATGCTATTATTGTAATGCAAGACCTGTATTTTATTGTTATATCATCCCTGTCACCATCTCCATCCATCCTACTGTGATGAAATGTTGGATGTGTATCTCTGCTGCGTATCACTCCCTCCCTCCCTCCCTCCTCACAGCAAGCGCACAGCACACACACACTCTCCTCCCGCTTTTCCCCACCTCGCCACTTTCTTCCCTCCCTCCCCGCTTTTTTGCCCACCTACCAGCAGCGCAGCCGCGCACCCCCCCGTAACAAAAAGCACCCGGACCTCCATCTCCGCACCTCTCTCGCGTCTCTCCTCCTTCCCCCACCACCACCGCCACCGCCACTCCATTGATGCTAGATAGGGAGCAGGGGCGAGAGGTGGGCAGCCGCATTACCAAACCGGGAGACGCCGCCTCGAGCTAGTGCTCGTTGCAGCAGCAGGAGGAGGTGGTGGTGGTGGGATTCCAGAGGGAAGAAGAAAAGGTTGCGGGAGCAAAAGGGGAGGAGGGAGGCGAGGGCCGAGGGGAAAAAGGGAGAGGAGTGGGGGTGAATCATCCAATCCACAGTCCAGCTCCTGGTGTGCAGTGCGGCGCTGATCGGTTGAGGAGGTGTGAGCGGCAAGGTACGCGTGGCCGTCGTCGTCTCCGCCGCCGCCGAAGCCACCGACACGCCGGCCGGGTCGATCGGAGCCGCGGGTCAGATCCAGTTCACGCCGGAATTGCGGCGGATTCCGGCGACCGTGACCCCGCCGGATCTGCATTCCGCGTGGAGCCTCCCCGAGCCGCGCCCTCGCCTCCCGTAAGGCTCCGAATCCCTTTGCTGCGTGCCTGCTTAATTTTTTCCCGTGTTTTTCCTTCGTTGTTGCTAATTTGCAGCCCTGTGATTGCGCGTCTGTGTTCCTGCAATGCTTGCGATTTTTGTTTTTTGGTCTGGATTGTTTCCAGGAAATTATGCTTTGTTTGAGGCTTTTACGTCGGTTTTATTTTTGAACTTTGAACAGTAGTACTAGTGAGAAGTGCGCTGCGAGCTCCCTGTTCAATCCGCTCCATCTGAAAATTTCACTGTTTATTCTTATTTCCAGTTTCTGACTTTTTTTTTCCCGTTCACCGGTCTTCTTCTTTTTTTGCCCTCCCGGACTTTGCGCTTCGTGTTTCCTTGTCTTGTTTGGGCCAAAGAAACTACTAGTACTATTATGATCAATGGGCAGTGAAATCAAATCGCGCGGTGTCGGTTCGGCAACGCACTGTCGCGCTTGCGAGGGTGGAATCACCGCGTCGTGCTCGCCCTGTTCGGGCGCTTCCCTTGTCCTTGCCGTTCTCGCGCTCCGTCTTTACCCCCTCCTCGACGAGTTCTTCTTCCCCCCGAACATTCAATCCCATCCGATGGAACACATGGTACAGATTTAACCCGTGAAAGAATCCGGCAAGTACGGCCAGCTTCACTTCATCCGGTGGGGGTGGAATGATTGATAGAAGTAGCGGCCGGGGAGTAGTAGTACAGCGCTGCCACTGCGAGATTAGTAAAAGGAGATGGTAGAAAAAGGACAACCCCACTTGAGCCCGCAAGGACGAGGGATTTATTAGTAGTAGTGAGTAGGCTGAAGTATAGCGCATCTGGTGGCTCAAGCCCAAATCTGCCCAGCAAATACCGCCATTAATGGGCGTATCATGATGCTTAGAGAGTGGTACTGGTACTAGTAGTAGCTCTCCGCTTTTACTCCGGCTCACGCGCGCGTCCTCGATACGACGACTCCTACTGCTAGCAGATGGGACGGAATGACTGATGATGAGGAGCAGCAGTGCAGCACAGTAAGAAACCAATGGATCCTTCTTCCTTGACACGGGGCAAGGCGAGCAGCAGTAGGTGTCCGGTCATCTCGGCGGAGGCTTCCGTTCCGTCCGGCCTAACCCTCCGGATGGGCTTAAATAAACATTCGCTGTCCCACGCCGGCGATTTACTCTCGCGGGCGTCTTAGGTGGCAGCCTTAACTGACTCTCTCTTCGCCGAGCGACAGTGGCGCGCGATTGCCGTATCGCGTCAAGCTCTACAGCCTGGTGATGCTGCATGCTGCGGCCATGCGCGCGGTGATGGTCCACGGCGTGGATAGAGAGATACTGGCCGCCTTAATTAAGCCGCTCTGTGCGTGTGTGTGTCATGAGTGCGAGAAGTACATGGCACGGCGATTACTTCCCGCGTTCGACGTTCTGGCATGACGGTGATCGGATCCGGTCCGGTGGTCTGCGCTGTGCGCCGCCAACTTGGTCGCTCGTGGGGGCCGCCGCCGCCGCGTGTGCTGACTGTAGTATTAGTACCCTTTGTTCTTGCTTCAAAGGTTGGATTTCTTATGACGGAATTAGTAGTGGCCTGGGCTTGTCCTATCCTATACTACTGTTCTAGGTCTATTGTAACAGAAACCTCTGCTTCTGGATCATCGGGTGTGTGTACACGTCGCCAGTGGATGGAATGTATGACTATGGAGCCGTGAGGTACGCGTGGTTTATGTACCTTGCACTTTGATGAGTGATAAAGGGGTGGTTGATTATATTATTGTACTACTCACCATATATGGTGGAATTATTGTGCACTGAAGTGTGTATTATACTTGCCCAACCACTCGTCTTTCACTGTTCCTATGACTTTTTACTATATGCAATTTGGGTTCTTTCCAGCAGTATCAATTATAGAAGTTGTATGGGGTGCGCAGGAAAATGTTTACTTATTTTGGTGGTTAGTTCTTTTGTCTGGAGCTATATGTTGGTTGCATGATATATCTTTCTTTTATTTTCAAAACACACATCGCCTCGTGTCTTCTTTTCAGAACTGTTAATCCTGAAACTTTTCATTGGTGTACAAGAAAAACGTTTATTTTGATGTGGGTTACTTCATTTTTCTAAAACATTACATCTGATGACATGTCTATCTACTGTTTTACCTTTGTATTGTTGTCAGAGTTGGTGACAATATAATTAGCTTCAGATAATTTGTCCACCTTTATGCTGGATATAGATACTTACTCGTCACAATTGGCTTATCTTGATATTTACCTTATCGTTAGATACATTGTGCCTGATGGATCGTCGCAGCTGGCCATGGAAGAAGAAATCATCTGACAAATCATCTAGCGCAGATGCTTCTCAAAATTCCAATCAAGCTGAGCAGGTTTGTGTTGCTTTCGGTGTTCACCTGTAGTTAGAATCCTTGAGAAATGCCATTTTACTTGGAGGAAGTCCCAATCACAAACTGTGACTTATTAATGCCATTTTATTAAGCAACCCTGCTTGTACCTGTGGGTGCTGCAAAATTTGAAGTTATGGAAAGTACTGGGTTGCAACGAGGCCATTTTTTTTTTGACTAAAACGAGGCCATTTATTAGCTATTGGACTGGTTTATTTGCATTTTGTCCATTTATATTTAAAATGAAAATAACTATTCATGTTTGTGGTAGATTCGTTCATGATTGATTTTGTATTTGCTGATTTAGTTTTATATAGGCCCTCTCTGATGCTCAATTAAGGACTACACTATATCACTCACATAGTATTTTGTTTCATTTTCTTTCACCCACTGTACCGCAGAAAGACATAATTTTTTTTTCTACATATAATTTTGTCAAAGAGCAACTCATTGCATTTTTGTTTGTGGCACACAAAATTTATTAGGGAAAATTTAGATTATGACATATTTTGCTAACTGCTAAAGTACATACTGCTGTGTGGAGTCAGTAGAATACCCATAGGGGACATCGGTATTACCAGTTCATTTGATATTTGTTTGCATTTATTCTTATCTCTAAAGCTGACATTATAAATGGAATTGTCTACTGGTGCATCCTGAAAGTTTTCCAATTTTACCTTACCTTTACATGTTTATTTCTTCTAATGCCATGTTTCCACTTTTCAGGATGACAAAGCTCCAAAATATGTGCAGATTTCACCAGAAACATATGCACACCTTACTGAATCAGAAGAACAAGTGAAAACCTTAAATGAAAAGGTGAAGGCCTTGAATGAGGACCTCTCTGCGGCACAGTCTGAGATCACTACTAAAGATGCCCTAGTGAAACAGCATGCTAAAGTTGCTGAAGAAGCTGTATCAGGTGCACAGAGGATCACTATGTTCTTTTACTCTTCCTATTTGAGTAGAATAACTTACTAACTACTACTTTTATTTTCATAAACCTTGTGCTAGTGGATGTTGGTATAGGTGGTACTGCTCTCTTTAAAGTGGAAACAGAATTCGGCCATTCATATGTTTTCTTAAAGGTTGAATGATTTATAAAACTGCTACAGTAGATGTATTTTTGATGGGCTATATGCTTTGTCATGTTTAGGTTGGGAGAAAGCTGAAGCGGAGGCCTCAGCACTGAAGCTTCAGCTAGAAACTGTTACATTGGCTAAGCTAGCGGCTGAGGAAAGAGCTGCCCATCTGGATGGTGCTCTGAAAGAATGCATGAAGCAAGTAAGGACTGTGAAAGAAGAAGGTGAGCAGAAGCTACATGATGTAGTCTTTGCAAAAACCAAACAGTGGGAGAAGATAAAGGCCGAGTTTGAAGCAAAGTTACTTGAGTTTGAACAGGAGCTCATTAGGGCTGGTGCTGAGAATGATGCACTCTCAAGGTCACTCGAGGAACGGGGAGACCTTTTGATGAAGATTGATGAGGAAAAGGCTCGAGCAGAGGCTGAAATCGAAGTCTTGAAAAACACAATTCAGTCAGGTGAAAGGGAAATTAATTCACTGAAATATGAAATTCATGTTGTTTCCAAAGAGCTTGAAATCCGCAATGAGGAAAAGAACATGAGTGTGCGCTCAGCTGATGTTGCAACTAAACAGCACATGGAGGATGTAAAGAAAATATCAAAACTGGAAGCTGAATGCCAAAGATTACGGGGTCTTGTTCGAAAGAAGTTACCAGGGCCTGCTGCATTAGCTCAAATGAAAATGGAAGTGGAGAGCTTGGGCAGAGATTATGGAGAAAGCAGGTTGCGACGATCGCCTGCAAAGAATTCCAGCTTCCATCGTCCTATGTCCCCTATGTCCCCTGTTCCTGATTATGCATTTGAAAACTTACAGCACATGCAGAAAGAGAATGAGTTTCTGACTGCACGTTTGTTATCCATGGAAGATGAAACCAAAATGCTAAAAGAGGCCTTGGCCAAAAGGAATAGTGAGCTGCAAACATCAAGAAACATGTATGCTAAGACAGCAGGCAAACTCCGTGGCTTGGAAGTTCAAATGTTGACTGGTAGCCAACGTAAGAGTACTTCGAATCCCAACATGGATATCCACTTTGATGGTGCACTGAGTCAAAATGGAAGCAACCCACCTAGTATGACCTCCATGTCTGAAGATGGTGTTGATGATGAAGGAAGTTGCACTGAATCTTGGGCCAATGCTCTGGTCTCTGAGCTCTCACACATCAAGAAAGAGAAAGGAGCTAAGAGCAGTGTGACAGAAGGCTCCAATCGGTTGGAACTCATGGATGACTTCCTAGAGATGGAGAAACTAGCCTGTTTGTCATCTGAAGCAAATGGACATGTCAGTACTGTTGAAAAAATGAAGATTGATGATACGGAAGCTTCTTTGTCTGGTATTACTGAAAGAGATGGTGTTAAAGATTCGCAGTCAGTTTTGGCATTGCCAGGGACTCCATCTAATAAACTGCAGCTGTCTGACAGCTCTCCACTCTTGAAACTACAGTCTAGAATATCTTCCTTGCTTGATTCTGAATCACCACAGAACAATGCTGGAAATATACTAGATAGTATCAGAAATATTCTAAAGGATATTGAAGATGAGGCAGATTCATCAAATGATAGCAAGACTCATCATGGTGACATGGTTGAAGTAGCTGACAATGGATCACTAATGAAGCATTCAAGCAGCGGGAGCAAGCATGCTATGGATCAAGAACTAGTCAATGCCATTTTAAAGATTCAAGACTTCGTTAAGTCACTTGACCAAGAAGTGTCCAAGTTCCAAGGGCAGTCTTCAGATTGTGATGGTTTATGTGACAAAATACAGCAGTTCTCTGCACTAGTAGAGAAAGCTCTATCAAATGAGAATGTTCTAAATGACATTGTTATGACGCTGTCTCTTATCTTGTCAGGAACCAGTGAGATTAAGTTCATGATGTTGAAAGAGAACACCAAAGAAGCTGACAATAATAATTTGGATTATGTTGATAAAGTGACTTTACTTGAAAATAAAGTGCAGCTTGAGCCACTAAAGGACAGCATTTCTGGTCCTTGCCTTCCTCGTTCATCTTCTGATCCGGAGATTGAAGGTCCTACTGACTCTGGATGTGATGTCAAGACTGCTGTGCAGATATGCTCATCAGAGGAATTCGAGCAACTTAAATCTGAGAAGTTGAATTTGGAGGCAGAATTATCAAAGTGCAATGAAGTTATAGAAGAGACAAAATTTAGGTTTAAGGAGTTGGAGAAGAGCCTTGAAGAGTTGACATCCAAGTTGGTTGCCAGTGAGAAATCAAACAGCTTGGCTGAGACACAGTTGAAGTGTATGGCTGAATCCTACAAGTCACTTGAGTCAAGGAAAGCTGAATTAGAAAACGAAATAAAAGTGCTGCAGTCCAAAATAGAAGTTTTGACAGCTGAACTTGATGATGAAAGACAAAATCATCAGGAGGATATAACAAGATATAGAGATCTCGAGGAGAAGATTGAAAGGTGAAACTGAAAATTTTTTTTTATTATTGATTAATAGTTGGTACAAAGATATCACTGCCCTCTGCTAGGTTTTTCTTCTTACTTAATCCATTGACATGAAGGTATGAGAACGAGAGGAATTCAATGTGTGTGGATGAGGATGCAGATACCAAAGCAAAGCAGGTATGAACAACAAACTTTGGATCTTCTACTTCCCAATATCTTTGCTTAATGAGTAATTTTACAGTCCTTGAGAGGTACCAATAGGTACCAACATTTTTAGTGCAAATTTTGGTACCTCTTAGTACCGGAGGTACCAGATTTTAAACAAGAAAATGTGGTACCTTCCGGTACCTCGTCAATGACTGTAAAATCACTCTTGTTTAATACTTCCCCTGTCCCAAAATATAAGCACATATGTGTTAGAGAAAAAAAAATGTCATTGACAAGCGCCCAAGTCCTAGAAATGCCATCGACAAGTATGAGTTTCAAGAAATGCCATCGTACAAACGATTTTGTCCCAAAAATGTCATCGCCGTTAGGGTTTCGTCCATTCCACGCCGTTAAGTTCTATAGGATGAATAGTGTATTTAACGGCGCGGAATAGACGGAACCCTAACGGCGATGGCATTTTTGGGACAAAATCGTTTGTACGATGGCATTTCTTGGAACTCACACTTGTCGATGGCATTTCTGGGACTAAGATGCTTGTCAATGACATTTCATGGATTATCTAAAAAAAAACACTTTTGGAGTTTTTCACGGGATCAAGGAAACATGTGAAATTAAATGGGGGATGATTGTGCTTTGTTGAGATGAGGAATTAGATAGAGAAATTAAATGTGAGGTAGCTATGATTTTGAACAATACAAGTTGCTATATTAGATAGAGAAATTATCTTCGAGATAGGGCTGCTGATACATTTTGTTCATGTGTTGTTTATTATTATTCTTGTAGAAATGCTTTCGCTATACATTTTCATTTGTAAATACAGGAAAAAGTATGATACTATTAGATCACTTACTAGTCAAATCAATAGGCTGAATTTAGATTCATACTAACTTATTTCAGGAGTACTTAGAACTGTACTGTGCGCAAAACTGATATTTTCTGGAAATTCCAGGCATTTGACTGACACTGACAGCACATTCGTTTAAAATGTTGACAGGAGAAAGAGATCGCAGCTGCAGCAGAGAAACTTGCAGAATGCCAGGAGACGATATTGATTCTTGGTCGCCAACTACAATCTATGCGTCCTCCAGCAGAATCAATGGGTTCCTCGCCAAACCAGCGAATGGAAGATTTCCTGCAGGACGCGGCTGGAACAACCGAAGGTGTTGAATACTCACAGAAGCCAACAGGTCAACTGGATACAGATCAGGAAATGCATGCATCAGGAAATGAATCCCCAGTGAATGGGTACAAGACACACAATGCCCCCTCTGAAGCGGACGGAAGCCCTTTCCTTTCACCAAACGGATCCAAGCGCCCAAAGCATAGATCGAGATCATCTTCCTCAATTTCTAACCAATTGCCCGAGAAACAAAACCGGGGTTTCAGTCGGTTCTTCGCCAAGGAAAAGATCTAAAAAAAGCTGCTTGCAAGATGCTAGCGTTGGCCTGCTGATTCTTTACTGTGAATGACGGGATGATGCAAGCCACGAGTTTTCTGTAGAGCTACTTGTGTATTCTTCGAGGTGACGCCTTCAGTTGCTGGAATAATTCTTCTTCGCTCGAAGTCGAGCGGTTAAGGCCAGATTTATTTGTGAGAATGTTTAGCCATCCGTACCTCCGTCCCGCTAGAGTGTTCTGGGTTGCCGTGTGTTTGAAACCTCACTGAGACCTCACTGTACATGTGCTTACTTGCATGAAGATAATCGTTGTTGGTTTGTGTGTCAGTGTCACACACCTCTTGTGAATTAACCTGTGTAGTTTGCTCAAACCAAGCTTGCTGTACAGTTAACCTGGATTAATCCGAAGGTTATTTGTTGTGCTTGTTGACCATTGTACAAATTCGAATCACCAGTGTTCTGAGGGAACTTGCGACTTTGTGACCTAGTTAGGGTGTGTTTAGTTCTTTGGGTGTAAAATTTTTAAAGTATATGGACGCACATTTAAAATATTAAACGTAGACTAATAACAAAACAAATTACAGATTCCGCCTGTAAACTGCGAAACGAATTTATTAAGCCTAATTAATCTGTTATTAGCAAATGTAATTAGGCTCAAAAGATTAGAATCTCAATTTACAAGCAAACTGTGTAATTGGTTTTTTCCCCCACATTTAATGCTCCACGCATGTGTTCAAACATTTAATGTGACGTTTTTTGCCAAAATTTTTTGGGATCTAAACAAGGCCTTAGGCCGAGTTTAGTTCCAAAATTTTTCTTCAAACTTTCAACTTTTCCATAATATCAAAACTTTCCAACACACACAAACTTTTAACTTTTCCATCACATTATTTCAATTTCAACCAAACTTTCAATTTTGGTGTGAACTAAACACACCCTTAGTAGATCATCGTCTGACAACATCGTGTTGACTCATTCATCAATGGCCTGGTCAGGTGACTTGCATTATGGGCTATTTTGCTTTGAACCATGGCCTGGTCAGGTGACTTGCATTATGGGCTATTTTGCTTTGAACCTAAGGATGTGTTTAGATGGTGGAAAAGTTAAGAAGTTAGGAGAAAGTTGATAGTTTGAAGAAAAAGTTGGTAGTTTATGTGTGTAGGAAAGTTTTCGATGTGATGTGATGGAAAGTTAGAAATTTAGGAGGAACTAAACACGGCCTAAGTGTACAATCACTCTGAAACATCTACTTCTGCCGAGGTGCTAGCTATAGGCTCTTTCCAAAGAGCGTTTTTTTTCCCCTTTTTGCGGGGCTCCGACTCCCTACTTAATTTCTGCCGGCCATTCGTAGGAAGTTGGTGTCCCGGACTTCTAGCAATTCCTCGTCGTCGCCAGCGCAGGCGAGGCACGAATGAGGCGGTGGCCTCTTCTTGCTGTCAATAGTACAGCCTCGTCGCTGATGGCGTCGTTGAAGGAGCGATAGTGTCATATTGATGCAGGATGTGTCTTGTGCTGTGGCCGTGCCGCAGGAAGGCCTCCATGAACAAAGGAGCAGGGATCAGGCACGGGCACGAATGCACGATGCGCCTGATCGCCCATTAGCATTCTCGCATGCAAAGGCGTTCTTGTTACCAACGTCGGAGTTTAAAACTCCGACACCCTTTGGTGATCTGCATCCGTCCGATCAGACCTGTGCCTCCCAGATCAGCCAAAAATTATTGGCGGACACACGCGCAGCCTAATGACACGCGCACTTGGGCGTGAGTTTTGTCAGTCACGCTGAAAGGAATAAATTTAGGCCTCTTACAGTGCGATGAGGTGGAGCGTTGCTTTCTGGTGCCAACTAGGAAAAATGCCGACGTGTCGCGCAGCACCGCGTCCCTGCGTAGTCCCTCGCTCCTTAGTTGGGAGACGAGTTCCTCAACCACCTCAAGGACGCGCGGCGGAGGAAAATCGACCCACGCCTGCGCTGTGAAGGTCGTGTCTCCGAGTTGCCATGCCCTAGCGCACGCGTGGGAGATGGAATCTGCGAAATCGCCGTCCCGCCGGAGAAGTCCCAGCAGCAGGCCGTGGACCGCGACGAGGAGTAACGGCACGGGGCAGCCGACGCGACGGCGAGGCCGGTGGTGGTGGCCAACCGCCGAATCTACTCCTCCTCCTCCTCCTCCTCGCCGCTGCGTGCAGTGGGTGCGGCGCCTTCTTGCTCCCTCCTCCCCGCGGCGTGGGAGGCGAGGAGGCGCGACGGACTGGGAGGAGGAGCGGCGGCGCGGGCAGTGGTGGCCGCCGCCGCCGCAGCAGCCGGGGACGTCTCCCGCCGGCGCGCCAGCCACAGCCGCCGGGGATGCATCCCGCCGCCGTGAGGGGCTGGAGAGAGGGAGAGCGGGCTCTGCGGCCGCCGAGGATGAGCCGCCGGCCGGATCTACTCCCCCACCTCCTCCTCCCGGCCGGCGCCTTGGCCAGGTCGACGCCGAGCTCGTCGACGTTGGGGACGCCGCCGCCACCACTTCTTCTTCGAGGACGACGCCACCGCTGCAATCGAGGCCGCCGCCACCGCCACCGCTTGGAGGCCTCCGCCACCAAGGCCACCATGCCGGCGGAGGGAGAAGAAGAGCCGGCGCCAGCGGGGAGGAGTGGATTTGGGGATTTGGGGGAGGATGAGCCGGTTGAGGGAGGTGGGAATCCGTGGGCCCCACTAGCAGATATTTGTGGGTCCCACTAGTGGTGCTTGCACTGTAAAGAGAGGGTCTTCAAAGCTCTTTATCCTACGTGTCATCTCGTGGTAACTCAGGATGGGTGCTTGCAGTGGGAGAGGCCTTAGGCCCTTCACATTGCACACAGTTGGACCGGTGCTATGGGGGCCACGTTGGATTCTGGCTTGCGTGGAGCGAGGACGCGCGCCTGTGGAGAGCGCCCCGCCCCCAACCTGAGACGCGCGTTTCCTTCTCTCGCGAGGCGAGGAAACGACTGCTTTTCTACACTGTGGAGCTCGTGTCCTCGCACCGCCCATGCTTGGCAACAAATCGACACAAATCGCGGCAGCAAACACGGCAGCAAATCGGCAACAAATCAACAAATCGAGTGGCACGGGCGGCACGGTCGACGGAGAGGCGAGGCGCACAGCGGCGGCGTCCCCGGCATGCCGCCGCGGCGTGGGAGGTGAGGCGCGGCGGCGTGGGAGAGAGGAGAAGGAGGCAGCCGGGGACGCATTCTGCCGCCAAGAACCGCCGGCCACCCGCCCGGCGCTCACCTCGCCCGCTTCCTCCTCAACGCCCGTTCTTGAGCCGCCGCCGCCAAGAACCGCCGGACGCACCCGCCGCCAAGAACCGCTGGACGCACCCGCCGCCAAGAACCGCCCGGCGCTCACCTCGCCCGCTTCCTCCTCGATGCCCGTTCTTGAGCCGCCGCCGCCACGCGCGTCGAGCCTTTCGACGCCGAGCTCCGCCGCTCCCGCCTCGGTCTCCTCAATCCGCCGCGTCCCCAGCCTCCACAACACCGTGGATCTGTCGTCGCCTCCCCTCCACCGCTCGCACGACGCCGAGCTCGTCGCGTGCCACCGCCTCGGCCTTCTCGATCCGCCGCCGCCGCCGCCGCGAGGAGAGGGAGAGGGGAGAAGCTGCCGACGGGGAGAGGGGAGAAGCCGCCACCGGAGGGAGGAAGGAGCCGGAGAGTGCGTGATGAGGGAGGAGTTTGGGGATTGATTTGGTAAAGTCGTGCACTGTGGGTCCGACTCGATGCTTGCACTGTGAACAGAGGGCCTTCATCCTAGCTGTCATCCCGTGGTAACTCACGGTGGGTGCTTGCACATGTCCTTTTTTTTCCTCCTTTCGGTTTGGGAAGCGGTACCTGGTAAAGTGGCAGGTTAACCACAGTTAACTCGTTGAATCAGTAGGTGGATCCCACCTGTTAGGGACTCTTCCGCTCCTCGCCATCTCTCCCAACAGCAACGAGATGGTGGCTCCACATATTAAGGACTCTCCTCTCTCTCCTTCCTCTCTTTTCCATCTCTCCCAACGGCAGTGAGTGTGAGACGGTGGTGGTGTCAATTCGTAGCGATTGTGTCGATGGGCTCTATTTTCAGTTGGCGCCCCAACACTGCCTGGCTTGGGGCTCTTCCTTTTGTAGTATTTACTTGGGTAAAAACGAAAGGGGGTAGGCTATGTTTTATAAGTCTCTCATATACGAAACTGAAGTGTACAATGCAACGTACTGATTAGAAATTCGGCTGCTCCGCAAAATTCTCGTCCTGTACAGGGAAATGCTTTATAAGTCTCTCATATACGAAACTGAAAACTGTACAATGCAACGACGCAACGTACTGATTAGAAATTCGGCTGCTCCGCAAAGTTCTCGTCCTGTACAGGGAAAACGGTTATCTTCTGCATGATCCGCATTATCAAAACTCATTGCGTCCAACGTAAACAGAAATGTATATCATTCCGAAGCATACATATTCAAACTTCACTAGTATTATCAGTCGCTCTTACAGAGCGTCTGAAGAGCATGGCATACAGAATTAGAGAATTACAGAATGAAGCAATCTGGACGAACTCTGGACGAACTAGACAAACACGCAGAACGCAAGATTCCTTTACAGTACAGACTTGAACCACATTGCAACTGCTTATTATTATTTATACTCCTTTAAAAAAAAACTTCAATTATGGCGACTGAATCTACACATTACCTCTTGATCTTTTAATATATTACATAACTAGATCTAAATGGATACCATGTATAAAAGAGAATCTAATTTATATCAATGAGTTTATTCTAGTTTAACAATTTACCACTAATATTGTCTCTTTCTATAATATGCCGGCGACTTTATCAATTGTTTTACAACACGTCATTGGACTAGGCTTAAAAAAACTGAAATATCCTTGTAGTCATTCAAGGTTAACAATCGATCTATCTCATTAAAAGTTTTAAAAAATATGAAATTTTTTATTTGGCCTTCTTACACAACATGAAAGTTAATAAATAAGTTGCATATTTATTTTTTTAAAAAATATATGTTTTGGCTATTATTTTTTTAAAAAAAATAATTGGCATTCTTACACTGCTTTTGTTGTTATTTTTAATGTAAATCAACTTTCATATGCTACATAAGATATTTTTGGCTATTATCTTTTGACTTTTGAGTAAGCAATTTCTCTTGCATATATCACACAAAAATAGATTTTTTAAAAAAAAAATTAAAAATACCAAAAATAACTTGTAACTTATAAAAAACTTTCATGTTGTGTAAAAAGGCCACATAATTTATTTTTTTATTTCTAATGAGATAAATCAATTGTTAACCTTGTATATCTTTAAGAGTTTTTTTTGTTTTTTTATTAAAAAAAGCCTAGTCCAGTAGCATATCGTAAAACAATTAATAAATTCATCAGTATATTATAGAAAGAGACAATGTCATATAGAGAATATACTTATCTTTGAGTTTGTCAGCCTAACAAATCGTTGAACTATGACAAACTCAAAGACAGAGTATATTCTCTCTATATAAAATTAAATTAAATTGAAGTGAGTATTCACATGTAGCAATAAGGTGGGCAACATTGTTGAAAAACACGCTTTTATTTATTTTAGGAAATATTATGATTTGTTTTCTTTTATCCGTAGCAAACGGAATTTCGCTAGTTAGGATGAAGCTAGGAACGTGTGGATATATGTCCAAACTGAAGTGAACTATACTCGTGTTTCGTGTGTTTGAACATAGTTTTTAGAATTTCTAGTTTAGTCGATCAAAACTTGTGCCAAAGATCCTAAAGGGTAAGAATAAACAGCACAGAAGCTGCCATTATTTCAACAATATAAATTACATAATGCAAAACATATCTACTTTGAACTTGGCCAACAGAACGGGCACAATTTTGAACTAAGCTACCGTACAGAATTCAGTCATCTTGTAACATACACTCCCCAAAGCTAAAAGAAATTAATGTAAAAAGAACTACAGTGCTCAGCTCTGCAAGAGACAACCTCCCCCAGTAACTAGAATGATAAACAGAACAAAATGGGGAATGGCAAAACATCAAGAAATGGCAATAAAGCAAATAATAACTTACATGTGGAGATATACTATATAACAGATATGGGGCTCAGCATCAGCAGGTTTGAAGAACAACCGGGCCAACCCAAGTGCTAAACATATCACTCAATGCCACCTGCACTTCGCTTGAACCATGTTCGCAACTTATCAGACCAGCAAGAAGGGGGAAGAACTGGCCAAGGTTCTTCTCGAAAGATGAGTCACCAAGGCCACTGATAGCTTGCAAGGTTGAGACAACAAGAGGTGCCCGGGCTGCAAGCTCTCTCCGCTTTGAAGAACCGACCGGAATAAGCCAATGACCAAGTGGCTGCGGAGCACCAGAAAGCTGAGATGGGTTTGCAGTGCTCAGGTACACCTCAAGGACCTCCTTACATAAGCCAACAAGGTGGCTTTCCACCTCTACACTCCTCTCATTGGGAGATCTGTCCAAGCAAATGTTCTGCAGGATAGTCAAGCACAACTGATACGACTCGTTCTCCAGGCGTAACAAAGGTGGGTCCTGCATTTGGGTCATCGAGCCCAACTCCTGCAACTTGGATCGCAGGTCATTATCACTGTTTATTTTATGAGCATGAGTAGCAACAGTGTGCAATGCCTCAAAGAGGATCACAGTGTTCTGTGATGATAACCGAGCTCTGTACATGTTATATATCTCCATCACAGCCTACAAAACAGCATGAATATATATAAACAGGGATAATGTAAGAACAATGTAACGAAGACCACATGTACAAATTGCAAAAGATAATGCTAGGAAACTAAGACCCTATAGTGGAGGTGTAGTAATAAATTCTATAAACAAGTGAAACTAGAATAACACTTGAAAGTTCCAGTATGTCAATCTTGAAAACAAAATAAGTTGATAGATATTCATAGGATTGATAAATAGTTCTCCATCAAAGTTCTGTTGTTTCTGAATGAAGAAATTCGTTCCTACAGTGACTAGAGAAATCATCCATATCACCAGGAGGGAGATTTGAAAAAAAAAAATCAGGAAATCATAGGGTGATGAAGAAATATGCTTCCAGAAAAAGATCAATTAAGAACTAGTTTATCAAACAACGGTTCTCTGAAGGAATAGTGCATACCTGAATCAATAGGAGTTGGACAGCAGCCCGGCACTTGGCATCACCAATTGCAAAATACAAGTTCCTTGATCTAGAAGCTTCTCCAGTGCCATCCTCCAATGGTCGAGACTCGTCTTCTGTCTTTTCTGAAGAGCCCCCATTTTCTATTGGTACATTCTCAAGGTAAGCTCCGGATGCAATATAAGAAAAATCAGGAAGGGTCTCAGTGGCAGCTTCTTTCAACGATAAAACCACCTCTAACCATTTTTCATCAACGAAGACAGATCCGGCACTGCTCATCAAACGAACAAATGCGGCAATACCTATACCGGCAAGGCTCTGGTGGGGACGCTTTATGAAACTTGTCAAGAGCAACAGAATTTTTCTAAGAAGAGGGTTTACTGTGTCATAGAACTTAACAAAGAGGTCCACAACTAGCTGCAGGGCCAAAGTGCATGTCTCGTACATCCATGCATCTTGATCAAGTTCTGAAGGATCACTTTCCACATTCTGTCCTTGTGGAGAACCACTTGATGGATCAATGGCATGCCGTACGTAATCAAATATTGGGAAAAGCACTGAATCAAACACCTTCTCCCACAAAGGCAAGGAGAAGAGATGACCATGGTTTCTTAATGTGTCAAATAACACCTG